TCAAATGCAGCCAATTTCCTCCCTCGCACTCTCACAGCCCCCCAGGGAAGCAGACACAGCACTCACCTGGTTTTTCTGAGACTGACAATTTGTAACACAAGGTTTCAAAAATGAGGGAGAGGATGGCGTGTCAAATGGAAGCAGTCTTCTCTAAAATGGAAAGCGCTTTCTCTAAAAGCCACCGATGGCTACAAGAAATCCACTTAAAACATATAACCAAATGTTATTTAATATCTTAAAAAGTAACACAATCCAAAATGGATATTTCACACAACACTACATAAACAACATGAACACAATATTACCATATGGAGGGACTTTCAAATATAGACTTACAAAAATCCCTGTCCTTTTTTCCTTTAAATTATTATACTAAGCATGACAAGTTATCATCATTTACAATATGGTACACTGACACAATAAAAACCATGTTACAAATGTGCTGTTATAAATCAGTAACGTTAGGGAAGACATTTCATGAACCGTAATTATTTCATATGAAATACTATACAATATAAACAGAACATCCATCTTGGATGACCTTTACAGCAACCAGAGACCAAGTAATTTTTAATTTTTTTTTCTTTTTTTTCTTTTTTTTCTTTTTTTTTTTTTTTTCAGTGCAAACACATTTATACAAGGCAGTCTTGGCTGCAAAACTCCCTTCTAACATACAGTAAGTCCCACTTGCATTTATTAACTCAGACCTAATGCAACAGCCACATTCAGTCACTCACAGGAAATTACCTGCAGAATTACCATCCCTTTCAGCACACTTCTCCTCCACACACCAAGGTAACCCCTATGCCAGCTCTCCCCACAGCCGGGCACAGGGCTGCTGCCCTCCATCAGGGATCTCTTCCAGCTCCAGGTGTGTGCGTGCGGCCTTCTGCTCCTCTATTGTCTTGGGGGAAGGAACATGGAAATCCTCAGCTCAGAACTGAGCTTCAATGGAGTTAGCAAGCAATTCCGCTCTCTGCGAGAGGGGGGAAGCGGGGAGTGACTGCCAGATTTACACCATGGGGCTGCAACCAACGCTCGGAGCCGCTATGAGAAGTGCGAGTCCCGGATTCTTCTAGCACCAGCCTGGCTTTAGTTGGGTCCTGCGTGCCATGCAGCTCTCTGATGCAGTATCCATGTACTTTACTTACGTTGGGGGGGAACGCTTTAGATATATACTTTGTTTTCTTTTAAAGAATTATGTAAAAAATAGAACTTTTCTCTCTTAATACTGTACAGCTTTCTTCAGAAGAGCAAAGAGAATTGTAAACTGTGCGGATGACACCAGATCAGGAGTGCTATTTGCTTCCTCAGCACCACTTGAACAATTGTGTTTAGGAAAAGCTCTGGGAAATGTATTCGAAAAACACATTTTTAATTAAAAATCCTGTTCCTAGACCCTCTGCTGGCAGTACTTGTGTGATTGGAACTGTTTGGCACTGCTCGTCTGAGAGTCCCCGCAGGACCACACAGTAGCCCCTCTCTTAAACCGACCGTGTGAAAACTTCAGACTATCAACACTTTGGTTAACTAAGAAATTTTACTTGAATGACTTTTGAAGAGAAAGAAGGAAACCAGTTAACAATTTTGTCCAGAGATTTCAGCCTTTTGTCTTTTTTTTTTTTTTTTTTTTTTTCAGCATGCCCTGACACAAGATGGGGATGGTGCCACCCACCTGCCTGCCCTGGCTGAACCACACGGAGGGCTCCAGGGCCAGAGGGCGTGATCTGGGTGCAAAGCACGACCTTGGCTTCCTCATTCTCTGCTGTAAGAATGACTGCTCTGGCAAGCACTAGGCTGTGGTTTTCATTACAATATTTCTTTCCTGATATGTTTTAAAGTCAAGCGAGCATCGCTGCTTGTTTTACAGATGTTTTACAATGATGCAGAGTCAAATGGACCTCTTACGATTTTTAACTGAACTATTTCAACAGCTAAATTAGCTCCGCTGATGACCGTATATTAACCTGCACTGCGATAATGGCACTAGGTTTGCTGAAAGAGGTGTTCATAAATCGGGGCTTGTATTTAAATATGATCTGCTTAAGTTCAGCCGCCACTTTCTTCCTTTGGTTTTTGGAAAACCTTTTTTCCCTTCTGAAAGGTGGCTTGTTGCAACTGGCTACTTCCAAGGCCGGCTTCATTTTTCTTGGGAACTTGGCCATGTTCTTTGAACAATAGGCACATACCTCAAGGAGGGTCCCTAATGCTGCTCCCAGCAAAGTCAATTAAGAGCTGCTGCTCATTTCTACAAGAGTGAGTGGTTCTGACGTACACGCTCCAGAAACCAGAGCACATATTGCTGTTCTAACTCTTGCCAGTTCCGAGAAACCATGGCCTGACCTGTTGGCAAAAGGAGGCAGAATAGGGCCCAGTATATTTGCAGGCTGCCAAGAAAATACCCGGAGCGTCTTCCCCTAAAACCCCACACCCTCAATCATATTTCACAGACTGTAGATGTTCCTAATTTGCTCAGTTACATACACATTTTCAAGTTCTACCAGGCAGAAATTGTAGCAGTAACTGGGGAGAGGATGGGAGGGTTCAGCCTCCCTTTTCACTGTTATCCAAATTATGCAGCCTTGTCAAAGTCTTACATGACTCATCTGAAAGACAGATTTTTAATATTGTAAAAGGAAATCGTGGCAATGGAAACACGATGACTTCATACGCAAGCATTGACACACAAGAGAACGCCATGAGCTAATGCTTCAAAGTTTTTAACCTTGCTTTGTACAATACGCTTTTATGTTGCTGCATTTCATCAAATTCATGGAGGTAGTTATATGTGTAAAAAAAATTACCATAAAAGTAACATGTTGTATTATAATAATACATATCAAGTGTGCAAAATGCCGACAGATTTGTGTTGACCCTTTACAGTTGAACACAACACAGATTCAACCTAATCTAACTCTGTAAACCTTTAAATCGATACATTAGAAGAATGATAGATAAGCAACCACGTAATACAAGGCTATGATTTCATCAAAGGATTAGGGTGACATAAAGCACTCAAGCTCCACTCTCGTGGTTTTGTTATCAGAACCTCAAGATGGAATTTCTTTATATTCCATTGTTGATTTTTAAAGAAAAAAGACAGAAAAAAGGAAAAAAAAGGAAAAAAAAAAAAAAAAAAAAAAAAGCAATTCAAGATTAAAACGTTTCTATTTGAAACTTCTGTTTACATTCCATATTCCAAGAGTCACATTAATATTGGTACAATGCCACGTCAACATTAATATGACATTTACGTTGTCTGCTGGTCTCTGGGAACTTAAGGAAACTACATACTACACAGTTTGTAGGTATGTACTGTCATATTTTGTTGGAACTATGTCTTCTGTACAACCAGCTGCCGGCACAAGTTCTGATTACTTTATGACAAACACTTCTCCAGAAGATAAAATTTGTTCTTGCTCCTCACATTCTAATACTGCCATTTGTACTTCAGATCATCGGCTGTAATTATTATTATATTTTTTAAGTTTTGACATTTTTATTTACTGAATGGATACACACTACTGATATCAGAGCTTGCCTCAGAAAACAAAATCACAGTCAGCTACTGCACAGTATATGACAGCTCCCCACAAAATCTCTGACTCTACAGTTTGCATGGAGTAAGCACGGCTGGAGTTACATATTGAATAGTAAGATGCGTCATGCAAAGCGCTATATGGTCATTAGAGCACATCTTGGAAGGTATGATAAGGCAGAAGGCTAAAGGCCAAGTGACTTTGATAACCAACCAAAAGCACAATAATTTCCTTCATGTGCACCAAAAGGTCTTATTGCTCCTGTGAAATGGAATTTGTACACTGAAACCAAGGAAAGCAGACCTGTGCATTTACTGGGTACTGGAGCTGTTCTTACAGAATTAGAAACTGGTCGCATCCAGTTAGAAAGCCGACTGGTAAGAAAATGAACTCATATCCAACTGCATAACATAAGGCTGAACCTTCAGTGAAGACTTCTGATGAGAATATAGAACACGAGTGAAGCTCAAATGACTCTGCGTACAGAGTAATGCATGTCACCAGAACCTGATGAAAAGACTGGTTCTTAGTATGTACAGTTGGTTTTAATACCTGTGTACTACAGGAGCTAGACAGTGGAAATGTCTCTCTTCTATTCAACAGTTTGGACTGCTGAACGATTTAATATCTTTGTTATTCTTCCACCAATTTGCCTGTTCTGACAGAAAACAAAGACAGAATTAATTTTGAAGTCAGTTTGTTGCACTACCAGGTTGTATGAGGAACAGAGCAGAATGTGACCCTACACCTCAAAATTATTTTTGAAGTTCAACTATCCCTAGAAGTTACTCTGCAGTAATTAGCATGGCACAAATTACTCCAGAGTAACAGTTTTGGGGAGAGCAATTAGGATAAACCATACTTACAGAATTCAGTTTTCTACTGCCCACCATACGGACACATTTAATTTCTAGAAACTAAACATGTCCATAAAATGCTAAATTGCAAATAACATCCACTGAATAAAAAGGCCAGAAGTTTATAATTCTCTAAATTTTGTTCTCTGATAATAACTACACTGTATGCTATTTTTTAATAGCCTAATTTAGGCACTCTATTTAATAAGCTACATAAAATAGATTTATGTCCTTCCACTAGAAAGAAATCAGTTCTTCAGGCCATACTTGTCATTTATATCATAAAGAATATTTTTGTTCAAAGAAATCAGATTTTTTTTCTGGTTCCTGCGTTAATGGCAAGATGCAATACCAGAAGTGACACGAAAATCAGATTATCTTTTTAAAACACTCTACGTAAACTGAAGATATTTCCTATATTTTGTGTCACTCCGCGCCGCAGCTCTGCAACAGTTATAACTTTCCCTTCCCTCCCCATTCCCCCCTCTACGCAAAGGCCTACCACCCCATTTGTGACCGCGGAAGGTCATGCAGCGAGCTTCAGTACACGAGCATCCCTCATACTTTTGAAACACAAAAGGGAAAGCCATCTCCCCCCCCACCCTCCACAATCTAAAAAAAGAACCTCTTCTTATTCACTTCAACAGGTATTTGCAAAATTGTCACCAAAACGCACAGTGGAAATGACTGATCGGTACCGATAATTCACAGACAGAGCCGAGGTCATCACTCGTCACGTTTGGCATCATTTTTCCTCGCGGTGATCCTGGCTGGTCACTGTCAGCACTGGCTCAATTTTTGAAGGAAACCAACTCTGCAGCAGAGTTTAGCTTCTGACCAGGGGCATCACACATCTGTGGCATTTTTTTTTAAATGAAGTTGGCAACTGCATGGACATTGAAAATGCAGATTACACTTACAGTGTCTAGACTTTCATATATGTGCTCAGTTACAATTAAGTGAAGCAAAAAGTGTACATATTATCCCTACTGCTATTCTGTTGCTACAGAGCCGCAAATGTGAAAAGCAATACCTCGAAAGAAAGATTTATTTGTTGCCCCTAGTCTACATAGCAGCACAGTTTAAGTAAACACTAAAACTGTGGTTGAGATGCTTTTTTTTTTTCTTTTTTTCTTTTTTTTTTCTCCAAAGATGTAAACATCAGTCCCAGTGTCGTAAACTTTGCTGTATGGGATAAGACAGAAATTCTGAGGCAGGCTGACTATCAGACACTAGTGACAGAAGCTTGCAGGCAGTTAGCTGGTTTCTGCAGTTTCTCAGCTTCGCTTGTCGGCGGGTCTGCGGTGGCTCGGAAGCTGAACGCTGGGCCTGCACCGCCGTGTGCTGGGCTCAGAGCAGGGTTCTGACGTCTGTTGCTTTCAACAATGCTTGAAGTGTTGGATGCCAGGCTCTCCCGAGTACTAGAACGGAAAAGAAATATATATACGCACTCACATAAGACATGCCGATATATCTATCGACCAGGCAGGAAAGGAGAATAGAGTGTTTTATAATAGGCTTCCTGTGTTTGTATGCAACGTCACATCAATAAACCATCTCATTTTGACAGCTCACATATGTTCCTCCAGAACGGGTTCCAGCAGAACTCAGCAGTAGCCGTGCTGTAACACAGGGACAGCACTAAGCAGAGCTGGAGCTGTCACACAGGGTCTGTAAACCAAACCACTGTCAAGTATCTGGATTTTTACTCAAGAACATACCTTCTATTTTATTTTGTGGAACATAATTTTCTTCCCTGGCTTGTCCGTTTTTGCACAAATTAACTTCCATCAAATCAGCTCTGTGAATATGTACAGTTAGGAGAGCAACCATGCAGCACAACTTGCTTTGTCACTCAGATAACAGACCGAGTTCCTGTAGTTCTAACAAATCCTTTGTCCATGGGAGTGACAGCACACTTAGCACTTTCAAAGACTACACAATACATCTCACCAAGAATGCAGAAGAGTCTATATTTTAGCCCACAGCTTCAAAAAACTCATCCATATGCTAAAGCTAGATTTCAGCACTACCACTCTTTTTGTTCTCTTTCTACTCTTAATCTCTAAATCAGGTTTTTCCATGCAGAAAGAGATTTGGTTTTCAAACCAAGGCATGTGGATCCTGGTTATGTATAGCCCCACTTCTTTGCAAAATGACATCACGATTCGCCAAGGACATGTTTCCTGAGTCCATTTAGAGTACTGCTGGGTGTTAAATGGGCACTACAGCCAAAGGTACAGAGGACAGAGGGAGGAATGTGTCAGTGCGTGACACAAGGGGAAAAAGAAATGTCTTGTTTAGCTGTAGTAATAAATTTAGCTGTAAGTCATCTTAAACTGACAACTAAAATGATGCTTTTAGAGAAGCTCTTGTAGATCTTTTAAAATCAATCAAAATGGCACTGATCATCTGCCAATTTCTCCCTTGTTGTAAGCAGTTCCAAACAGCTACGACGGGTGACACATGCACTGAGCTGCAGTGACGCAGGCTGTGCTTCTGGTCTTTGATTCCTCTCTTTCTGCTTACAAACAAGAAGAGATGCAACCTTTGCTTTCTGAAGATCATTCAGTATTGTATCCTTCTTAAAGGGACCACCAATTTCACATTTTCAAACAATTTCAATTCCAGTGTTACAAACTGACCATTACGACATCTACAGGTAACGACTGCAGTGAGTTCTGTATGCAGAGTAATGCCAAAATTAGCTCCTTCCTTAGGTGACAAAAGAACAGCAGTATTATATAAGCCCTAAAAATAAAGCAATAAAATGAATACGGTGAGCTAATGGATACCATATACCACCTGTATAAATGCAATGAACAAAATACTGAGAGGTTGTCTTCCAGACAGTGATGTTTTGATGAATTTCATTCACAAAACACTTTTGAAGTCAAATGACCATTGCAAATCACGTGAAGTACCCACCTCTCATTAAATACCCTTTTTCTTTCAGTGTAGAACTGCTAACTCTGATTCCCCAGGCAACACTGCGTGACCAAACAGCACCACAGCCCAGCAGACACAACCCCAGAGGCGCACATCAGCAGAGGCCCAGAGTATACTTGAGAGATATCACCAGATACAGGTCCTGGTTTTATCCTCTTCCCAAGGCATCTGCTAATGGATGCTGTCACAGCTAGGTGAATCTTACCAGACGGATGCTGGACAGTGGTTTTACATTTCCTGGAGAAGGGCTGTGGAGTACATTTTTTGTTAAAAGGTAGGCAAGTAATAACAGAAAGGTAAATATAGCCAGAGAGTCCAAATCAACCTCATCTTCATTTGTTTTTATAGAGTTATATTGAGGAGTGACTAGAAGAGAGCAAAAGCATCCAATTTAATCATCTTGATGCAAAACTCATGACTTGGATATTTAAAAGCCTTTGAAATATCCAGACTTACACTGGCCTTACAAAACAAATACACAGAAAAAAAAGTGCCTACAGAATGTGGTTTTTTTTTTTTTTTTTTTTTTAATGTAAAAGCTTACTTTCTGTGGCCTTGCAAAAAGAAAAGAATCATAATTAATAAAATTAAAACACACTCTGTAGAACATGATCATTATTAAAAGCTGCTAATCTGTTTCCCTTTTAATCTTAACATAAGCTGAATCCAGTAAGCTCACAACGTTCTGTTCTCTTCAATCTAAGTTCAGGTTGAACTTCAACAGAGATTTTAGCCTTTCTGTAAATAAATAGGAAAGAAAATGTCTGACTTTGCACTAACCAGCAAAGCAAGCCTATATTCAGTTAGCATGCATCTAGCAAAACTAAGAACTAATTTTTATCCAGTCAATATCTTGTCCTGGAGATGAAACACATTGAGCAGAGTAGGATAGGCTGGGCAAGCAGTACCGAACATTATATACTTCCCTGCAAAAACTGACTGCCAGTCAGAACTACAGAACTTCAACTTAAAGAGATTACATTTTAAAATAAACAGCACAAATAGCCTCATACAGCAGCTGTATGTGAGAAAGATGCCAAGCATCTACAGGGCAGTAACAACAGCAAAATCAAAATCTTCTTGAATTCCCTTCTTAAAGTTAGATTCACTGCAAACGTGGTCATTTTACTCAAATTACTTCAATTTTTTTTTTTACTTAGGAAAAAATCATACATATGTTAGAAATCTGCTCCGGTACTTTGATGTTTGCTGCGTGCTGCAGCAGGCCCAGCAATTCCTGCCTTGTCACTAACATCAAGCAGGAGTAACCATCAAATCCAAAGGAATTTATTTCAGAATGACATGACTTTAACTGAAAAGGAAAATTAGTCCTGTGTGTAGAAGCAGGAAACCCTTCATGTGCCTTTCTGTGAGCTTTTGCAGTAGATTATTAAGACTATATAATTTTGAGGATTAAGAACACTTTTTAAGTTAAAAGAAAACAATTTTCTTTCCTCTAATACAAATCCAGTCTTGGAGGTTTTATTTTTAAACACAGGCAATAAATAATTTACACCTAAGTAAGACACTATAGGAGAACAAGCATTGTAAATTATTTCTGTGGTTTCAGAGTCATTGTTCTGAACTCTGATGGGTTGCTATCCAGGGCAAACAAAACCAGACAAGCTCCATTCCAGCAGGGACCTAGGATAGCTAAAGTCCAGAGGGAGAAAGAAGAAGGCTCGAGTGAAGGATTCTTAACCTGGAAATGAGATTATCAGAACTTCAGAGTAGGAAACACACCAGGAATTCTCTCCTCACTAAGCCTGTAAGAGTCCAGTTGCACCAAGACTTCTGTAATATCTGCAATCCCCGGGATGGAAATGACTAATCCTTGCTACCACACACAAACGTGGGCTCTTTTCCCAAGCTTCCTAGGCAAGACATCTCTCTCTTTGCTGGTGCAGTACTGGGTCATTTCTGAAGGTAAAATATCTTGAGCCCTTTCAGCAGTGTGGAGGAAACAGCTGTTCCAGACTCATTGGCAACAGACACACTTCCAAAATTTTTGAAGAAAACAAACAAAAAAAGCCAAAACCCAGACTAAACTTCTTTTTTTTTTTTTCTGGCCTGAGCCAAAGATTATGGCATCTAGTCATGTCTAGTCTTCCAATTAGTCTTGATGAGAAAAAGAAGGGGCAAGTATGCAGGAGCTCATCCCTGCTACTCTAAATGCAAACGTAAGTTTAAAACAGAGAAAAAAAAAAGAAGATACAGGGAGGTCTTTCAGCCAAATAAGATAATACAGAGTTAGTACCAGTGGTTGCTTACAGTATGGGAGAAAACCATACATCTCAATATCAGATTCCAGAGCTGCGGAAAACACTGTCTTAGAACACGTACATTTGTTTAATATGGCTCTAAATTGTGTTACCAATACACACAAATAACTAAAAATTGAACTTTCTAGACTGGAAAGATGCAATTAATGTGACAGTCCTACCGTGGAGAGTTGAACCCGCTGTCCACAGTAATGCTGCTGCTGTCCATGCTGTCCAGGCGGGCTGAGTGGGTGGCTCTCTGGTTGTTGCTATTTTCTGTTTCTTTTGGGGTGAGAAGAGTGAGATTCTTCTCAAACTTTCTTTGCAGATCTCTCTCTTTTTCCCTCTCCAGGAGCCACTGCATTGTGCCAACATCATCCCTGTTCTTCTCTTCCTCGGCATTTTTGTTGGTTCCTTCCTCTGAGTCGTCATCATCAGATACGTTGTAGTAGTCAAACGAGGCCTCCTGGTTCCCAGCTGTCTCTTGCTGTCTCTGTGAGACAGGCATGACTTGTGTGACTGAGGTTACTATCGCTTGTTCAAGTTTCTCACATCTGACTGGTAACGTGTCAGAAGGGGTCTTTTGATGGGGCTTTAGCAGGGGTGTGCTAGACTTATGGAAACTATTCACAGAAAGAGTGTTGTGCAGAGGTTTGAAGAGTGTATCCTTGCTAAATATTTCTTTCCTTTTATCAAGGCTGCTTGATTCAGCACTGTGGTGTTGAACCAGCCGTCCGTTTGCAATCACCTCTGGAGTCTGGCCTACAACTGCTGAACCACTGCTTGGGCCTTTTGGGGACTCCTCTTTGTGCACCCCAGGCTCCCTGGGAACATGCTGAGACTGTCTTTCTGAGGGAGTCATTTTTTTGAGCCCATCTGTCCCTGTCAGCGTGTCATGATCCTCTTTGTTCTTTCCCAGTGGTGACGGAGCAGTAAGCACAGTCTCACTGGACGTGTTGCACTGGAAATAGTCATCGACTGCAGATTTTGTTGTGCAGGAGTTGAGCTCACTATACGATGGCAAATTCTCCGTAGGCTTTTGTTCCAACAGACTACAGGAACTGGGGGTTTCTACACTGCCGCTAGCTATTTCAGGGATGCAAGTCTCTTTGTAGCCTGCAGATGAAATCAGAGCCCTTTGATGACTGAGCGACTGAGATGGCCTTAAAGTACTATCATCAATGTAAGTTTGGCTAGTTGTTTGGTCATCTGGGCTACAGCCTTCACCCATGTCTTCAGGAGTGCCTAAAGTAGCTGAGCCCAGAGGTCCCTTGGAGTTATCCATGGATCTAGACCTTTCTTTAGCCTTACTAGACCGCTCATTCCTCGATCGTCTATCCTGTGTATGGCTGTGGCTCCGATGGACCTTAGAGTGGGAGCTTCCCCTGGAAGGTTCAGGAAAAGGCATTTCAGTTCTTCTTTTGGCCAGCTCACCAGACACATCCCATTCTGGTGTCATGGGAAAGTGAGATTCAATCATGCTAGGGTTGCTGTGCATTATAAAATTATCTCCCTTGTGCTCTATTATGAAACAGCCTTCCCGTGGGGATCGAGTCAAGGGATCATAGAACTCATACTCTCTTTCTGCAGGTATATCCAAATGAGAGCCATCTGATGGATCTCCTTTGGATACCCGAGTCTTGCTGTGGGACCTCGATTTCCCATGAGACTTTCTGTGATTCCTACTTTTTTTACTTCGTCCACTGTGGTGAGCTGAAGATCCCGCTTTGCTTCGTTGAGCTTTTTCTTCTTCAAGTTTCTTCATTAGTGCAGTGTGCCTCATGACATTTTCCACAGTCAAATCTGGGTTAATGCGCCTGATAATCTCCATCTCTACCTCTCTAGGTATAGTGGTAGGGGTGTCCTCGTCTCTCAGTGGCCACTCCTCTGGAGGAAACTGGGCAGAAAAATTTGCCAACTGTTTTGTCTTGTCCTTCTTAAAACTTAAGCGGAATAATTTGAGTCCGAATTTCTTAGACTGTTTTTCTACATCCTTAGGCTTTGTGAGCGTCTCTGCCTTATAAGAAAAATTGACAGTACTTTTACTTTTCTCAGTGGGTGGGACCTGGCATAATGAAGGAGGACAATATGAGTCTTTACAGTCCTTGGCTGACTTCCTCTGTAGGGTAGATGCATGCATGCTGTGCATGTCTTCTCTGCAACAATGGCAGGAGTCGCAGTGGTTTTTCGGTAGTGTTCGATCCCTGACGCATCCCGAGGTGGAGGGAGTGATAGTCCCTTGTTGTGGAGAGGTACATTGAGACCTGTCAGGTATCCTCTCATCCAAATGGTACCATTTACTGTTAGTTCTTATGAGAGATGGTGTTATAAAGTAAGTCTGCGGGGTTACAATGAAATAACCATCTGGAGTTGGGTATATTTTCCTCTCCCGTACAAGCATATTCAATGTATGTCGAAGGATTTCTGGACTGGGTGTTGGAACCCCTAGAAACGACAGCAAACACATATCAGGGAGTATGTAAACAATATAGTACTCTGGCTCCGTCCCTCCCCTACATAAACCTGTTTTTCTAATATGCAAGCTGGAATATGCTGAACAAACAACTCCAAAGTACTTTGTTAGGCATTCTCTTGTCTGTTTGTTTTTTCACTTATCTCCTACACTTCAAACATATGAATTATTAAGAGAAAGGAGGCCATTAATGGAGTGCAAAAAAAGAAGGAAGAGAGAACTTCTAGTCACTTCCATCGCATAGGTGACCCTAAGCTACAGGATAAAATCACTGGAAAGCAAAGGGTGTTAGAAGGAATATTTCACTTTTCTTCTTCTTCCAATCAAATACCTATATCCCATGTCACCAGAACTACTTATAACAATGTACAGTCTCATATAAAATAGTGGTTATTTGTTCATTTGGATGCCTAAGTAGTTTTCCTACAGAAGAATACCACAAAGGAAAAAAAAAAAAAGGATTCCCCAAAATTGCCCCCCATCACAGTCTTGATTGAACTGGTTTGCTCTCCCATTAAAACATGTCTCAACTAAAACAGCTGCTCCAAAATACATGTTTTGAATGATACAGTTCAAGTTGCCCAAAGAAACATTTCCACTATGCTGGAATGTACAGATCTAGCTCCTAAGAATTTGCTTCTGTCTTTCATATGCAAAGTGAAGGATGCTTACTTAAGTAAATATATCACATACCAAGAGACGGTCAAGCATGTCAGCCATGCATCAGTGCCACACCAGCCGCATAGGAAACGTGGCACTGTGAACCCAGTCCTTCCCACTACCAGTACTCCTGCTGAGTTCAGTGGTGCAGCAGCAAGTCTTTAATAATTTATTAGATAAAATACCAAGTTAGCATGCTGTGCGCAGGAGTAAGTTCCATGTAGAGCTAAGGGAACAAGAGTCTTAACTAAAGCAGTTTAAAAAGAAATCTGCTTGTGTTGAATGAGAAATAATAATCTTTCAAAAATGTCAGTTGAAATTGTTATCTTCGACCACTATATTTTGATGAACTAGGAACTGTTTAAGCTTATTTTGGGGTACTGAGCTGGTTTATATTTTTTGAACTAAAGAAACTCTTTTTAAAAGTTATGATTATTTACTCTAGGTTTTAGTTTTTCCAATAAAATTAATTCAGTAAATAAATAATTGAATCCGAAGGTAAGTTATGTTGGAAGGGACCTTGATAAGTCATGCCATTAGCCCACCTACGAAGTGCAAGAAAACTTATATCAAATTATCATATCAGGTTCAGAATAGCTGAAAGGATGAAAATTTCATGAAATTGTGCCTTCAGTAACATTTCACCAAATACTTGCTTTTCACAGAAATACTTTGGAAAAATTTCAACCAGCTGTTCCTGTCATGCAGTTACCTTCCATAGCATGTAGTGTATGGTCACCAGCTCTTTGCCCACATGTCAAAGGCTGCAGCCTGCAAGCTCCCCGAGTTCCTTACGTGAGCAAACATGAGAATGACAGCAAGAGCTCTGGCAGTATGACCAACATCTCATCACATGATTACCACACTCTGACTGTACAATTAAATGGGCTCCCAAGCATCAGCACCCAGTAACACAGTGCAAGTGAAAGGCAGGACAATGAAAACCTCACTATCACAGAGAGCAGGAGAACTTGCTCAAAAACAGTTTCTTGGTGCGAGGGCAACTCTGGAAAAGGCATGCTCCTGGGATGGGATGATAGCCCTCAGTAAACCACTGGTAGCCCAAAGGAGTCTGGCCTTTGCAAACAAAATAAGAAGTCTTACAGTGCTGAACAAACCAAAGGTGACCAGTGCTGGAACTTACAGCAGCTCTAACATCCTGTAAGTAAGAAGGCTTGCTGCCAAGCACCCTCACACTTAATTACATGATATAAAATATGGCGACAAAGATCTATCATTTATCACATCAAGCACAATAGGAAGTAAAATATAATGAAAAAAAGGCAAAATTTCTTGCCTGTTTCTGCCAAAGAAACAGATGCAAACTACCTGGGATATAAGTAGTAACGGAAAGTGAAAAGAATTAATAAGCAAAAGATATTCATCATTTTCCAGGAAGAAATGCACAGGCCCATTATAATAACATACCTTTAATATCTACATAGAGCATGCAGAAGGAAATCTAGGGTCAGTACCACCCCTCATGCTTTGCACCACAAGTGGTAGATGACTCCAACCTCAAGCTTATATGTCTCTCCATTCTGTGCTGAAAATGCACTGCAGGGTCCAGTGCTGCTCCTACTGTGATGCAGTTGTCGTGCAGCAGCCAATCTCTACTCCTTCCTCTACATACAACCTGACCAAGCCACTGCATCCTCCAGGAGCCTACAAATAAATACCTGAACACATATCTACTACCTTTGGAAGTACTGGAAGTACTTGGTCTTTCATCCTTATTTCACTTAACTAAAAAGAACAAGAAAAAAGAAGAAAGACATTCAGCAAGAGATTGATATGGATCACCTCATGTTTTAAGCCAGCTTTTTTTTTATACTGTGACAAAAACACCCTGCAAATACATGGTAAAAATAAATACATATTTTTTCACCCAACAAACCATAATAACTACAGTATGTTGGGTGAGTGTCTAAAAAATTGACGCACTGTAGTTACATTAATTGACTAAGTCGTAGGGACAGAGAACATGCAGAAAAATTAGCATGCCTGGGCAGTCAGAGACGCTGTAAGTGAATTGTGTCAGCCTTCTCTCTGGAGTTGGAGACTGTCACTCCTATTGCTTGCTGCACGCGGTACTTCCCTTCATTTCACTACCCCAGCTGCGATGATGGCAGATGCAGATCTCTGGAGTATTGCTGATACTACCTACTTTTGTTTTGATTTTGTTCAGGTCTCTTTCAGGTACTTACAAAAGCAGAAACAGACTCAAACTTGAATTAGGTTGTTCAGCAATGTGAACAGGAGCAATGAAATTGATCTAGCCCCCTTGCTAGTATTTTGTGTATGCCTTTATACCTAGTACTTTAGGTGAATACTCCAAACATGGCTGCATATGGCATAGTCTCGGCAGATGTGCACTTGAGTGTTCCCACTGCTCATAACCAGAGCCAAATGAGTGCAAAGATCAAGTAGTTCATTTATATTAGGAAGTGTAACATCTATCCTGCATAATGATTCTCCTTTCCCACCTACTATGTCTATTTTCCCTCTGAGCAGTTAAATATTTCATCCTATGACTCCAGTTGTATTGTTACATTTTGTTTCCAAACTTGAAGTGTGATATTGGGTGTGCAACGGAATTACGCAAATTTAGAAGCCCAAACTTCCCACACAAGCACTGGAAAGAGAGGTCATCTCATGTGACAATTCATATTCATGAAGTCAAAACAAAACAAAAATACAAGGGGAGTCGTTTAATACCATGGTTGGTGAGATTTCTGTTAGATTGCAGCAGGTTCAATAAAAAATAAAATAAATGTTCCTCTATGTGTTCTACAACCTTCAACGAGGTTAAAAAACAGCAGAGGAAAATCTTGCTGTGGATGAAGACTGTAAGACAGGACTGGGTCATTCAACTATTCTTCATACAGCAATTTCAATGCCATGCATCAACAAATACACTAAGGAGAAAGTACACAACATGAACAGTCTGGGACCAGCCCTGCTCCATCTAGAGCCACTGGCCAAGATTCTCCTGACTTCAACAGGCACAGAACAGGCCATTTAAAATAATCAAAGAACTTAGACTTAGCAGCCCTACTGTGCTGGAATGAGAGATAGAGGGCAAGTGATGTCAAAGATCATGGCAACTCAGAGGCGCAAGCAGAAGAAGAAATCAGATTTCCTGGCTTCCTCAAGGTCTTTTTCTTCACAGTAACCTGCCCACATCATTTCTATATATAACCTGCCCTTGCATTCAGAAGTCTACTTAAGGTCTCCCTGCTCCTATTAAATAGGTGCAAGAAGAAAAAAAAAACCAAAAAAACCAACCAACCAGTAGTTTAGAAACTCTATCATTTAAAATACTGCATGACAGCAGTGGTGTTATTTAAGATTATGTAGTGTTTAAATAATTCAAAAGCAGAAACTGTCTGGACACTGAATCATCAGACATGTACATTTTTTGCATCTCAAGAGAGTCTACTATGCCATCCTCTGAGCTTCCAGACAGAAGATTATGTCTTGTTTGCTGCTCACGAAGAACACTGACCTAGGGTGAACTCAGTTAATATATGACACTTATTTTAAGTGCTACATATACATTTCACATATTTAAAGAGCTAACAGATATGAATGTGGACGTCAGAGAAATTTGCCAGCTTTCAGAAAACTTCTTACTTCAAAACATGACCTAGTCACAGACACAGTTTCCATGCTGAAATATTGAATACCTTAAAACGATTTTTGTAACAACACAGACAAATTTGGATAGAAAAGAAAAATCCTTACTAAAGACAGCATAGTCTAATGCTCAATGTTTCCTTCAGCCATAGCAATACAGATAAGAGGGTCTGGCTGCTAAACACAGGAGCAGAGGTTACATTCTTAGCTCCTTATACTGGATTTCAAAGATTTACATTTAGTGCACAGGATTTAAACCATGGTCAATAAATATAAAGTAGGGCTGTACAAACATCTCATTGGGTAATTCCAAGTTAGAATAATGGAAGCATGTGCAGCAGCAACTTTCCTGTTCTTCAAAAAACCTGGTAAATAACAAACGCCACAAATAAGACATACGTTATCATTACAAACTTTTTCAATAAAATAAATTCATGAAAAATACATCTGAAGTAGTATTTAAATGGTGTTAAGTCTGCTAAAATGATTTTCTCCTGAGCTGATGCTAAGGCTTAACAAGGGATAAAAGAAATACTCTGATTGGCTCATGAAATACTAGTTAAGGATGTGGAGTGGTTGCTATGTGATGTTATAAATAATTAGCATACCTTATTTCAGATAGAGCCATGGCCCAGATTTATGCCTGCACAATGGCTCAGCAAACTAGAGGGCTAGACTGCTCGTGTAAGATCCGCACTGAGGAAAGAGGTTTATTATTCTTAGGCAGTTTGAGAACGGCATCTGGGGTCTTAGGAAATTTATATGTGCCATGAAGAGCAGTGAAGCGTCTGTTCATTAAAACACAAACAGCACAGGCAGACAAGTCCTGCTACAGGGTGAGCTACAGAGAGGTTATTTGACAATGACAGCTACATCTACACTGGCGATGCTCTCCTCTCTCTCAGCGTATCGTAACATAATTAGGAAAAATAAGCTATCAGAATATGGGAGGACATCAGATACTTAAAAATAGCCACAGTGAACAGAAGGACTCAAAAAGCCATGGCTGGTTTATGAGAGAGATTGGGCAGACAAGTGGAAATATCACTCAACATAAGGAAAGGTTCCATTCATTGTATAAAGGCACGAGATGAGTGGATAGTGCTCATACACTAAGAGAACATGCACACTTTCTCTGTTAAACACGTTATGGCTGGAAGAGAAGGGCATTCCTCTAGAGGGGAAAAAACTGAACAACAAAGGGTGGGTTTGTTTTTTTTTTAATTATAATTTCCTTTATGTTTTAGGAAATGGAGTGGGGAAAAACAAGGCTCTCCTTTTTTTCATCCCCAACTTGAGATATGCACATGTCCATGGCCAGTGGAAAAAACAGGCAGCAAGAGACTGTGTGCTAAGTTGCCTGAGGCTTCTTGTGAGCAGTCTGCAGCAGCAGAGCCTGTTGAATTATTTTTGATGCATGGCTCTGTCTAGCAAGAACAGCACAACGCACCATGGCACCTGATAACCATGCTCCCAGGAAACTCAAGGGATGCCACCAGTAAATTATTGTTTCCGCCATGCAATTGCGTGTTTATTAAATACACTGATAGAATCACTGGGAAAAACACTTGCAATCTATGCAACCTTTCAAACACATAGCTATATAGAAAATGTGACCTAGAAAAAAACATCAAAATAAATTTATCTAGAATTACAATTACGAACTTTGCCTTCTTTGCATCCTATTCCTTACAACTTTTACCACGGTTTTCAAAATCTGTGAAGCATACTGAAAATAAATGCTCTGCAAGCTAAACCACAAACCAGGACAGAGTGATAGTATTTACAAAATATACTTGCAGTAATCTTTTCCAAAATACAATTATCAAATGTCAGACACAATTGTTTACCTCAAACATAGCTGTAGATTCAAAACTACATTTTAAAACATCAGAAGTGAGTGCCAGTTGCAGCAAAGTCAATGCAACCTCTAAGGCTTTGAGTTAACTCTGGCTTTGTAACTTTTAAGATACAAAAAAGTTCAAGACATGAAAACACCTAGGATCATAGAATGGTTTGGTTTGGAAGGAACCTTTGAGATCATCTAGTTCCAACCCCTCTCCTACTAGGGACACCTCCCACTAGACCAGGTTGCTCAGTCTGGCCTTAAACACTTCCAGGGAGGAGGCATCCACAACCTCACTGTGCTATGATCACTGTTACAATTAGGCTGCCTAGAAGAAGCAGATACATCAGTAGTTTTATTGCTGAAGAATTTTTAATTACTGCTTTTGTGTCATTAAAAGACGAACAATAAAGAATTTTCTTAGCTAGTTCAGAGAACTGTAAACTGAGGGACAGTTCCCCAAACCTTTTAGTCATAGAGAGTTGCCAAGTTAAAAATAAATTTAAAAAAATATTCAAGCTAGAACTGCATCCAAGATGACTCTGAAAGTCCCTGCATGCCAGACCGACAGCCTCTTCTCAGCTTAAATATAACACCCTCCTGCTGAGGCAGACACATCATCACCATTGGACTCCAGCACTCATATCAGGCCCCACCAGATTTAAGAGTCTCTCCCACAGGCAGGATGTGGGAAACCCACTCTTTTTAAAGAGAATGCTCTACACAGAGATCTCTGTGAGGTCAGCCCTACAGAGAGTGAATGATGGCACTTGAAACAGCTGAATGAAGTTAACAGAGCTCTTAAAACCAGATTGAAAGCCATGAGGTGGAATTAGTCTGCTCTGGCTCCAACATATGCTTTTGTTCTCTTTAAATAACAAAGAAGTCTTAAACTCTCCTGATTATGATGATAAAGAAGGTGTTTTGTGATAAAAGTGACAAATAGCCTTATTTATTTGTATTTTTTTAAATATTAAAAAAAAAAGAAACAACACAATTTGCTGTTTAGTATCTCAAGACATTGTTTTAATATTTACATAAAGTCAGGAATTGGCCCTGCAAAATGTATCTCACATGAATGGCTCCATCAAATGGAACTTCTCTGTGCATATAAGAAAAAAGAACAGAAAATTTTAACATTGGAACCCCAAAGCCTCCTTTTACTTTCGGGTATCATCTCATGATTAATCAATATTCCCATCCAGGAAAGTTAAGATAAACAGATTACTAAATGCTGAAACTCCATCTTCTAAGGAAGCCGAACAGACAAGCATCTTTTAGGCAGTGAGTGGGGGGGACTCTTTAACTGCCCTTTTACAGGCATGAGCTCTTTTGACCAATGATTTATTCATGCACAGTTACCTGGGAAGCAGGTTGTTAGGTGCTCCATTAGTGCTTCTTGTGTGACTTGTTTTCGGGCAGAGTTCATTGCTGAGATGGCCAGGCAAAGGATTTCTCCAAGTGGAATAAACTGTGACTGACTGATGGGAGACATGCTGATTGGTGATACATCACCTGCAAAAAAACAACAGATGTGCAATGAAGCATTCTGTATAAAATGCTGCCCACAGAACAACGATGAAGAGACACAATTGGAAATGATGCATACAGCTCTGCAGAATTTGTACTCTGCAGAATGAGAACCATCCAACTTATTTCAACCAACAAGCTTATTTCAAAACTTGGACACGGTGATCTTTGGAACAGGGGAGATGTACACAATGCAGACATACTTTCTCAAAGGGTGCAATAGGCAGACTCAGAAAAATGCCTATAAATTGTCATTTAAGGTTGCAAAACCTTACATTTGAACATTCTAGTAGGTAAATCCATACACAAAAGCGTTATACACATTTTTCTGGATGCAGAGATTTCAGAACCCATTCATTCACTGGCTAATGGTATGGACTGCCTACCACTTCCATTTGACAGACTACATCTATTAGTGACGGAGATTACAAAAATATGTTGATGTGTTAATGAATACCATTTCCACTCAGCTGGTGAAGTGGAACACACTCTTTTAAGGCACAGAAGCATTAGACACCTCAAGATTGATACTTCCAATAAGTCTGTCTCAGATCTACATGTCTAATGCCTTTGCAAAGATCACATATTTTTAGGAGTTTTTATGGTTCCAGGATGGCCTGAAAATAAGCTTTGTTGTAACTTCACCCAAATAGCTTTTTCTCATGTCATCTTTAAACATAATTCTCTAGCCCATACTTAAAAGACCACTGAAAAATCCTTAAAGCAAAAGTTACTGAAGAAATGATAATTTGATAATACTAGCAAGACTGCACAACTACACTTAAAGACATGCATTTTTACATACTTTATATAAATATAGAACTGATCTTACATGCTGCTCTTTACCTCCTCTTGAAAGGATAACAGTTCCCTGATGATCTCAAATACAGGGGAGAAACAGACTAAGAGATTTCCTTTGACAGTGGAAAATAAATATTATTCAAACTTTTCTCTGTAATTTTGAGGATCTGATATTTGCTGTACGAATTCCATATTCCTATTATTTCTACTAGGCAGAAATAGCAGTCCTTGAAAGTGATTATCAAAATGCATTTAGCCTTGCATTACAATCATTACTTTGTTAAAGAAAGGAACTGGTGAACTGGTGAGAGTGGCAAATTGTGTAACTGTTTCAGAGAGACATACCAGCAATGTTTTTCAATACCCCAGCTGTACAATCTGTTGTGTACAACAGTGATACACGTTACCCAAGACATAATAATGATTTAAACTACACATTGGCACTATGCTGCCTCCTGACTGCTACTGATTAATCAGGCCTGATCACATCATTGCGACAATCCCATCACAGCAGTTTTCCTCCAGCTTCAACACAGCACACCTCAAGACCCTCCTCTTGAGTGACGACAGAGTGATGACCTTAACACATAAACTGTTCTGGATATTTTCACCTATACATGCCCAAGAAGCTCCTGCCAGAAGTGCTCTTTGCATGCAAGCACTATCAGTCAGAGAGGTTGTAGACAGCTTACAGGGAAATGTGAGGAGGTATAATTCCATATGACTCAGGAACAAATCCTGCTTGTCTCTTCATCACTGAAGAATGGGTAAAGAACATCACAGTTATTAATTACTGTTTACTGATAACTATGCCTGCTATCAGATGAAATTTGTCTATCCCTGTTATCACCAAGACACACAAGTCACCACTGCACTTTGTCTAAGTGAATGTTTTCTTTAATGGTTAATTCCACGTCTAAAAAGTATCAGTTACACCAAGAATCATGCAGATTGAGGTAGGCGATTTCAGAAGCTTCTGCCCTTCATATGCAGAGGATGGGTGCCACAAGTTCCCTTGTGAGCAGACGTGGGCTGGGAGCAGCCTGGCTCTCTCCACAGACAACACCACGCCTGCAGGGCACACCTTTGGGATCACCCTGTTTGGGCTTGTTAACTTAAACCTAGCTGAACACGGGTTACGCAACAGTAACATTTACCTGGCTTTTAGTCACCTTGCACTGCGCACAATTTCCCTTTTCAAAGCAGGCCTCCAGCATGGAATTACTTTTCTAGCTTAGCATGCGGAAAACATTCAGTCTGCTTGATTTGATCACTGCCAGTTGGGTCCTCATTGTCAACAACAAGCTGAGAGTTTCCACCAAAACATGAACTATTTCTATTTCCCATACCTCACCCACCAGGTCCTTAGCACTAACACAACCTTTAGCAGAGCATGCTATTGCCAGCTAACAAACATTTCACTGACTAGAAATAAGACGACAATTGCACACAAAACCACAACTTCAGTGCCTGTAAATGGAATGGAAATGGTCAACAAGTATTTGTTTACATGAGAGCCTTCCTTTCTGTTCTGTTCCGTGACTATCACCAGTCACCGCTTTACATTCTTCCATGGAATATTTTTCAACCTTCTTTATGATGAGGCAACTCTTGTTTCGCCTCTGTTGCGTCCAAATTAACTCTGCAGCCCTCTGTCAGTAATGGTCCGCTGGAGCTAATTAGTGACTCTGGGTTTAGAAAGGCTGACACACACTGGTAACACCAGCAGTAGACCCAGTGATAGAAAGTCAAAAGTCCCTCATCCAGGGAGGCTCTAATTTGCCAGGTTTCATCTTAAATATCCCACGGCTCTGGGAAATTACAAGCACTCTGTAGTTATAGTTAAGTGAACAAACTTATCTGATGCACAACACAACATTTCCTTGTGTTTATGATTCAATATATTAACATCAATTATGTGTATAAATACTGCCTAGCCCTCTGAACAGAAGGTTGACTACAACTTTTTTTTAGGAAAATCCATTTAAAAAAAAAAAATGATAATCAAATCTGCTTCTCCTACTTTTTTTTTTTTCTTTTGGAAGACCACATCGCTTACACAAACCATCCAGCATATGGCTCCTGTTAGCTCTGGCTGATGCTCGTCTCAAGCAGCTTTCTTTTGAAACCAAATTACTATCCTTGACTTTCATATGTTTATGTTCCCAATTAAATGAAAACTGAAGCTCAGAAAGCAGTTTTCACCAGCTGACTGCAAGCTCTATTTAAACACTATCTATATATTTATATGTATATGCATATAGTTTCACCTCTGTTACTGCAGTGTCTTTCCAATGATCTCTTTAAATAAATTTTAAAAGTTTTTCTACACTATTTAAGTGGTACCTCATTTTAAGAAGTGTCTAAGCATATAACAAACAATAAATGGGGGCTGTCCTCATTTATGCTGTAGGGGGATTTATAATGCCACCCCGCGGGAAAACAGTAATTTCTGTTACTTAGAACAAGAGATTAATTAACAAATAAAATAAATGCTTTGCTCCTACATAGCACATTTCTTCAAAACATTCACAAAAACAGAGTAACCATAGCTATCTTCAACATACAGATGAGAAAGTGATAGTCTGCAAGTGAGCTGGCAAAGAAAATTCACCTCTTCCAAACCACATGAACCAGAGCCCTTCCCGTGCCATTTGCCTACTGTCTCTGTTCACTCAAAGTTGGGGTACCACCATCCTGGCAGAAAATGAGCTACACTGTATTTCTCACCATCTATCAGTAATTAAACTACCAGCTACATACAGATGACAGAATTTTAATTAGCAATTCTGCTGCTGGAAAGAAGTGACTTAGAAGTCAAACTCTGTCTCATGAAGTTTGCATGAGGACTGTTTGAAAAATCACCTCCTGACTTATGAATGGAACCGATTCAGTACAGCCATTCAAAAGGAAAATTCACAAAATTACAATGCAAAGCCACAATTTATTAGACTCTATATACTCCTTCCTTGAAATGTTGAAGAAACCCTCTGATTACAGTATGCATGCTGTGATATACAGAAAGCCAAATTGGCCATCCTGGCTCTCAACACCTCTGCAGCCTTTTACCTCCTATGGCCCAAAATAAGCTGTAAACACAATTTCTGGCCTGGTTTCCATGGGAAATGAAGCTTGCACAAACACAGTCTGGGTACATTCACGTGCCAGAAAGGTTGGGACTCAGTAGACAATAGAGACTCTACAACAGTGAGCACTTACTATGCATGCTCCAACTGCTTGGTGGGGCAGAGCCAAGTCCCACCAGACATGAGAGAACCTAGTCAGAAAACACACATCAGGTCACTTTTCCACTGCTTACAGGGTTACGGAATTGATCAGAAAGAATCAAACAACTAGAGTGCCTCATGGCACCTCATGGCCATAGATGCAGTTTCAACAAAAATTCCCTACACACATTTTCTTGGTAACAATTTGTTTTGGTCAACAATCAACCACAGTTTCGATCCAGGAAGAACTAGAGAGCTGCTCTTCAAACACAAGAGAACTAACAAAAACAATACTACCAGTAAGGGACAGAAAGAAGGCTCTTCAACTATTATATTTTCACTATTATTACTATTATTATTCAACCACTATATTTTCACCTTTTTTCCCCCCCCAAAATACTGAAAGTGAAAAGTCTCTTTTAGGAAAAGCACATTATCAAGCTGACTTGCAGAAGCAACAGATGCCCCACAGGTAACATACCTGGCCTGGGTTGCACATTACTCCCTTTTCACCCAAACCTCAACATAACTGATCACTCTAATCACAGAACACCTGCTTAGATGTGGCAAACTAAACTTTTCATATGTGAACTCACAATGATGATATACAATTGCCATTTTAAGCCAGATCCTGCTTTCATCTCATTAAGCAACATGAGGGAGCAGAAGGACACGCAGATTTCTATATTACTCAGATTACACTGAAATGCCTTGGATCTACATTAGCATATAGTAAGAAAGAACACATTTTACTAGCCAAATCTGAAATACAGAAAATCAGAAATTACATTGTTTTCACTGTTCTCAGCCATAGCTAAGTCTTCATTTTAAACACATTTTGGAGTATTTTTGGGACAATGCAGCAAACTGTGCTTAGTAGATGGTTATGCATATCAGAGGGCTGATTTTCAATAAGAAAAGTTAAAGATTCTGCCATTTACTCACATTTAAGAGCAG